GGGGGGGGGGGGGATTGTTTTCAGGTGAACATTGAAAAAGAGGGAGAAAACACCCTCAAGCGAATAAGAGGTTAACCATACAAAGATAACCTTGTATGAATATTTGATATATAAGTCGATGATGGCAGGCAGCAATCATGTATTTTATAGTTATTCATATGTTTATAGTCTCCACTTTTGTACCCAGTTTGCAACAGCGTTATTCTCCCGTTTTCTGTTTTATTCTCAAAACAATCCTGTGAGGAAGGAGAGGGTGAGAGAAAGTGACAGCCCCAGGGTCGCCCACTGAATTTCCAGGGCAGAGTGGGGATTCCAACCTGACTCTCAGATATCCCGGTGTGACATTCTCACCTGGGTACTGCATTGTTTCTGCTAATCACACTGTTTGCATGGATATTTGTGATTCAGAAGTAGACAGGGATGCCAGCCTCCAGGCAGGACCTGGGGATGCCCTAGAATTACAGCTCATTTCCAGACGACAGAGATCAGTTCCTCTGGGGACAATGGAGGGTTGACTCTGTGATATTGCACCCCACTGAGGTCCCTGTCCTCCCCAGGCTCTGTATCCAAATCTCCAGGAGTTTCCCAACCTGGATCTGGCAACCCTACCCCCCCACCCCCTGCCAGTGACCAGGCCGGACCTGACAACCCTAGAGATAGATCATATCACAGCAATACACAGTTATGTAAGGTCAGGGAATCTCAGTTGGTCAGTCTGTATTAACTTGCCTCTGTTTTCAAACCTATTGTAATGATTTCGAGTTATGTGTGTGTGTTTCTTTAAATGGTTGGTAAGTGTCAGAAGAACGAGGGTGAAAGAGGGAGGTGAGTGAGGTGATTGGGTGGTGACTAAGAGTGTGTGGGCGGAACTAGGAGGAGTGTATGTGAAGAGAGAGAATGCAGTGAGTGTTCAGTTGGAAGTCTGCAGTCAGCAGCTGTCAGTTGTGGTCAAACTACACAGAGTCTGAGAAGTACTTGTCTTCTAACTAGAATCATAAAGAAGTGCTGTGAAAGGCATTGAGATTCTAAAGGAGGAAGAACATATACTTAAGGGGGCTTATTAGGAAAAATCTAATATAGCAAGAGTATTTTGAGGGGGAAAGCTGACAGGGACCTGAGTAAAAGGGAAAGATCTACTTAGCAACTTAACAAAACATCTTGTAACTAGAGATGTGAAGGCCTGTAAAAAAATTTGGGGGGAAAATGGTTTTTTCCGGAAGCCTTTTTTGTGGGGTTTTTTCTGAAAAATTGAAAAAAGAAAAGAAATGATTATGGAACATTTTATTTTAACATGATGAATAAAATATTTTAAGACAAGGTGTTCAAATATTTTCCAGATCATTTCTAAAAAATATGTATGGTATCAGATTGATCTAATTTCTGTGCACTGAGGCCAAGCAAGTCCTAGGTTACAAACTGAACTTTCCAATGCAAGAACAAGATGCATTTCTTCTTTTAGGAGGTGCTATTGTCACAAGAAAAGAAAAAGGTTTCAGTTTTGTTTTTGCATATTTTTAATATGCTAGTTGTGATAATTTCATGCCAAGTAAAAATGTCCATAGTCATATTTTATGTTCCTAAAGTAACAGTATGACTTTCAATCTGTAAAAGAAAAAAAGAAGTGCTAATGTAGCATTTTTTTCAATTTTCCCAAAAATTTCCGTTTCCCCCCAAAAAAAACTGGAAAAAAGGGGTTTTTTTCCGAGCTTCAAAATTGCCGGAAATTTTACATCTCTACTTGTAACCAATACGCTTCCTTTACCAATAAAGTTTCATTTTGTTTATTGTCAACCCAGAATCTTGTCCTCAGAACCACATAGTCCAATGAAAGAGCCTTAGAGCTTGGGCACAATACTGTGGGAAAGGTTAAGTAAAGACTGGAATTAAATGCCTGGTGGCAGCGATAGATACTTTGAGTGAAAGAAACAACAAGAAATTCAAAATTACATCACACCTAACCACACAAAATAAGAGAGATGCCAGCCCCATACCACAGAAACGTCTTCAGACAACGCTGGTTCTTTGGCTTGGAAACGGAGATGAGCACCACAACCCCTTTACCATTACACCTATCCTATGGTATAGTGGGTCAAGTGCTGGACTAGGGTCTGGGAGACCAGGTTTGAATCTCCACTCTGCTGGGTGACCTTAGCACAGTCACACTCTCAGCCTGACCTACCTCACGGGGTTGTTACAAGCATTAAATGGAGAAGAGAATAAGTTGCTTTAGATCCCCACTGAGGAAAAGCTCAGGGTATAAATGAAATTAAATAAATGAAGCATGTCCACTCAGAAGTAAGTCCCATTTTGTTCAATGGGACCTCTTAGCAAGTATTCATAGGATTGCAGGCTTAGAGTGCCTTCCTAAGCCGAGCTGCAATTTTGGGTACTTGTTATGTTTGACCTGATTGAAGAGTTACCATATCACATGCCCTGTGATTCTCCTTTTGTGAGAACTGTGCATTGTTTGATAAAGATCCCAACTAGAGCCTCAGGCCCATTTCTGGCTGCCACCTTGCATGAATCTTCATGAATCCTATTAAATTGTGTTTGCTGCTTTGGTTAAATGATGATGCTAACTCACATGTTCTGCTGGGTTAGATGGCACCACTCCATTCAGTGTTTTCCTCTGGCTCAAAGAGCCATGTGTTGCTGCAAGGGACCCTTCTGCTAATGGGAGGGTTTCTTATACTGGAGGAATGTGTCACAGATGGAGTGGAGTGATAGGATCCAGTTCATTGTTTCAGCCAAGTTTGTATGAAATTGCTGAAAGTTGGAAGACCTCACTCTTTGTGTGTTTACATTTAAAGTGTGCAGTCTGCTAAAGCGATCAAGCCCATAGACCGTAAATCGGTTCACCAGATCTGCTCTGGGCAGGTGGTGCTGAGTTTGTCTACTGCAGTGAAAGAGCTGGTGGAAAACAGCATAGATGCTGGTGCTACCAGTGTTGGTAAGATTGCTTTGTTGTTGTTGTTTTCTGACTGCCTCTGAGAAGCTGTCTTGGTGGTTTTATCCAAGCATTGCTTTTTCGGTTTTCCAGGGAGGCAGGAGGGAGGGCTTCAGAAAAGCTGGTTTCCGAAAGGATAAGCCAACGTACACTTTGAAAGTTGACCATATCTGTACTCCTCAACTTAAGCTATTTGCAAAGATAGTAAGAACATAAGAAGAGCCTTGCTGGATCAGACTAGTGGCCCATCTAGTCCAGCATCTTGTCTCACACAGTAGCCAACCAGTTCCTCTGGAGGGCCAACAACAGGGCATAGAGGCCAAGCAGTTCCCTCTAAGCTGAGTGAGTGTGAGCTAGCTCAGAGTTTTTTAGCCTCCGGCTCACACATTTTTGTCTTAGCTCAGAGCAAACCAATTTATGCAGTAGCCAAATCGCTTGTTCACAATGCCAGTAGCTCACAAAGTAGAATTTTTGCTCACAAGACTCCACAGCTTAGAGGAAGCATTGAGGCAAGGCTCTGATGCTGCCCTGGGTTTCAGAGGTTTAGTGTCTCACTCTCACCATGACTAGTAGCCACTGATAGACCGATCCTCCATGAATCTATCTAATCCCTTTTTAAAGGTATTTATTCTTGTGGCCATCACTATATCCTTTGGTATATATCACTATATCCTTTGGCAGTGAATTCCCCATTTTAATTTGTGTAAAGAAGTGCTTCCTTTTGTCCGTTCTGAATCTGCTGCCCAGCAGCTTCATAGTGTGCCCCTGAGTTCTAGCATTTTGGGAGAGAGAGAAAAATTTCCCTTTGTCAACTCTCTCCACCGCATTCATAATTTTATAAACCTTTATCATGTCCCGTCCCCTCCCTTAGTAGTCTCTTATCTAAACTGAAAAAGTCCCAGACCCCTCTTCAGCCTTTCCTCGTAGGGAAGGTGATCCAACCCCTTAATCATACTGCACTGTTTTTGTCATTTTCTTTCACAAGAAATCTCTTTGCTGTTATTCTTCTATACTCTACAGAAGTGAAGCTTAAAGAATATGGGACAGAGCTTATTGAAGTGTCTGATAATGGCTGTGGCGTAGAAGAAGAAAACTTTGCAGGCTTGAGTAGGTTGGACTGGTTTTCTGCATACAAATCTGTCGGAGTTTGAATTGTGCAGTGTGACGATTAATGTCTTTTACCACTGATAGTTGTTGGCTTGCTGCTGTCTCCTTATTGTTATCTTGGTATAGTAAAGGTAAAGGTTCCCTTGCTCGAAAGCCGGTCGAATCCGACTCTAGGGTTGCGGTGCTCATCTCTGTTCCAGCGCTGTCCGAAGACGTTTCCGTGGTCATGTGGCCGGCATGACTAAACACCAAGGCGCACGGAACGCTGTTACCTTCCCACCGAAGTGGTACCTATTTATCTCCTTGCAATTTCTTGCTTTTGAACTGCTAGGTTGGCAGGAGCTGGAACTAGAGATGGGAGCTCACTCCATCATGCGGCACCCGGGTTTCGAATTGCTGAACTACTGACCTTCCACAGCCTGCAGTTCAGCGTCTTAACCACTTGAGCCACCGCAGTTCCTTATCTTGGTACAGTTAGTTTTAAACTGTTACCCGCAAACTTTGTTGGATGCTGGTTTTTAGTAAAAAGGGGAAGGCACTTTAGAAATCTTCTATGTAAATAAAATTCCTCTCAAGAGCTTTCAACTTTATTCCTTGTTTTTATGAAGTTTAGGGCTGGGCTGTTGAAAGGGAGCTGTGCTTGGCCGCGGCTGCATATTCAGTAACTCCATAGTACTAATTTGCATGTTAGGAAATGCATGTACAGCAACCTAAATCCTAGATAATCTTAAAGCAGCTTTTAAAGAGAAACAGAAGAATAATAAATTAATGAATTGTAGCTGATTTTTTCCTCATTTAGGTACTTTTACATAAAATATTTTCTGCTGCTATAAGTAGCAGTGCTCTCATTTAATTTTCCAATTTTAAATATTATTTTTCCAGCTCTAAAGCATTATACTTCCAAGATACAAGACTTCTCTGATCTTATACATGTTGAAACGTTTGGCTTTCGAGGTGAAGCACTCAGCTCTCTGTGTGCATTAAGGTAAGGGTTATTTCTCCCCCTTTGGCAGGGCTGCTTTATGTTATAATAACTTTTACTAAAGGGGAATGCTTTGTGTGGAACAGTTCTCAGGTGAAGATGAGCACTCTGTGGACAGCTCTGCAAATACAGTGGAGAGCTTTTGTTGCTTATTTTATTTACATAATTTATAGCCTCCTTTTCTGTGGAATGGAGACCCAAATCTGGTTATACCTTTCTCCTCTCCTCCATTTTATCCTCATAACAACCCTGTGAGGTAGAGAGAGGCTGAGAGAGTGCAACTGGCCCACAGTCATCTAGCAAGCTTCCATGGCAGAGTGGGGATTTGAACCCGAGTCTCTCAGGTCCCATCTGATGCTTCAACCACTACACCACGCCTCAGTGGAGGAAGAAGGGTGGTAGTGAACCTTATATTTTTAATGTTTGCCTAAGTTTTTAGCTTGTTGAGTGCAGAAGGTCTTGGATATTAGTTTTACAGGAGGAGGAGGAAACAGGTAGAAATAACTGGTTGCTTTTATTTGCTAATTCATAAATGTTTATTTTATTCTTCCCAGTGATGTTTCTATTTTGACTTGCCACACGTCTGCAAAAGTTGGAACACGTCTCGTGTTTGATCACAATGGGAAAATCACTTCAAGAACCCCTTACCCTCGACAGCAGGGAACGACTGTCACTGTGCAGCAGTTGTTTTATAACCTGCCAGTACGGCATAAGGAATTTCAGCGCAACATAAAAAAGGTATGGGCTAGCAACAAAATCATAACGAGAGGGGTCCATGGACCTGTGGTGGTGGAAAGTTCCTCCAAGGTGCAGCAAGAGATGAAGCAAGGTTGCTTGCTATTGCCTCCTTCTGCATAGCAACTCTGGACTTCCTTGGTGGTCTCCCATCTTGGTGGGCTAACAACCGCGGAGCCTGTATAAGAGGTCGAATCCAATTTGCTATGAACAGGTTCCATCAGTGCTTTGGACTGGGTCGCACAGGTGGGACAATGAGGAGGTGCATCACTTCAGACTCCAGATGTAGCATCACACGTCAAAGGTGAAGGATTCTGGATGTTAAAAACGTCATGCAAATGGAAAACCAGTATACAAAGCAAAGAGAAGGGGGCAAAACCTTTTGCCTTTCTGTGGGCATTTTCTAGCTGCATGAAGGTTTTTGGGGTTTTTTGCCGTGAAGAAATATTTAAAATTAGAATCTGTTACCTACAACCTGAAGTGGTGTGGTCCATTTGGCCCTTTCATGACTTTGTCACCTTGTTCTGCTTGAGTTCCAGTGGCACATTTAAGAACAAAAAACTTTAATTCTGGGCATAAGCTTCTTTGAAGTGTACGTGCACACAAAAGCTTATACCCAGAATAAAACTTTGTTGGTCTTAAAGGTTCCACTGGACTTGAACTTTGTTCTGTTGCTTCAGACCAACATGGCTACCCACTTGAATCTAACCCCATTCTGCTGCATATGTGGAACCAGGACTTACGGGTGACTCAGGTATTCCTTTGACTTTCCAGTGGAACATAATTTTAGGGTACAGCTTTCATTCCTTTGTGTTCTGGCTGTGAAGGCATGATCCAGCATTTTTGGGACACATGATTTTCA